GAAACAAATATCAAGTAAGTCCTTTCATAGCACTAAACATTAAAAAATAGGATAAATCGATTAAAAGGAATTGCAACATTGACCCTCGACACGAGTAGATAAAACGATCAATCCCCGATTTTTCACAGAAATCTTATAGATGCATGTTGAGAGATTTGAATAACTTTCCACATCGAATGATGTATCGGACAAAAGCTCGTATTCTCCGTTGTAAACTCGCGCTATCGTTTCTCTAACGTAGAACGGGTTAATAAAAGAGTCCTTTGCTGGAAGAATGACGACTAAACTCAACTATAAATGCAACTATAAACTCAACTATAAATAAAAACGTTGTACAATCTCCTCGGCGTTACTACCCTTTCGTAGTCACATCGTCATCGTCGTTGATATACAGACGTGGACTTGACACCGTGTTTATACCGGAAGATTTCACTCGAGATCGCATCTTCCACACGCGGACACGAGGATCACAGTTTCTAACATAAGCGTAGGGTCGGCTTACATATTTGGGAGGCGGGGCGGTGGAATTGAATCCCCTCGAGAGGGGTAGATTGGTCGGATAACGATGGTGCGCAGCAGCAAGGGTAAAAAGAGGCGCAACCCCGGCGTCGATAGTCGTTCCTTTTTCATACACGTTCTTCCGAGGGCCACGTAGCCCAGGTGAAACTCGCATGGCCAGTATACGCGTCCTCCCTCTAGCTATCGACCGCCATTCATAATTCAGCCGAGTCGATCCTGAATGGAGGGCCGTATTATGAAGCGTCGCGCACACGCTGGCTACCTCGTCGCCGAATTAAAGCGGAGCTTCTATATATTTTATTCCGGCCGACACTTGGAAACGGCCGGCAACGCGGAAACACAAAGCGGAACCGAGGCCGAGAATCAGCGAAAGAATGACTGATTGTTGTCAACCAGTCAAGTAGATGGATATCCGAGGAGGATTCATTGTTGCACCCCGCGCGCCGTTTGTCCGAACAAACTGGCACAAGTTTTAATTTCGCTTTTGACCGTCGCCGTCGCGCGACTTGCGGGGAACGAGTGTTTAACGTTGGAAGGAAGTCGCTTGTTTTCGACACAGCGTATATTTCACGGGACGCGTATGTTTGAATACAAGCCCGGGCAAGTTTGGAAGTGTATGTTGGCACGCGGCTGGTTGGGACTTCCATTGTCTGCCGGGTATTGTTTTAACGATATTTATGATTTTGCGAGAAGTTGCGCGACGGTTGTTTAGAAGATTGGTGGTTAATGCGAAACGCGGTGAAAGTATGTGCGGCACCTCGTTAAATCTTGAAAGCCAAGACCTATGACCTAATATTAACTTTCAGACGTATTCTTTCAATTTATTCGATATTAATCACATACATGAAACACTGAACTAGACGAAACAAGAATGTCTAGAATAAACTACACGCTAGTATTTTTACAATAAATAATACTAGCCTACCTTATTAAGTATATACACGTTAAATATTTCGATCATTATTGCAAAACTTACAATTGCTTGTTTGCACGTAAAAGTGGAAACATTTTTATATAACACTGACGTGGAATACAAATTTTAATATGTTTTAATAATGTTACGAATTTTATGACGAATTTTACTACGTTGTAACGATGTTCTGTTACAAAGACTGAAGAAAGAAAATTTCGTGTCACTACATCACGAGGGATTCTCGGTAAATAAATAAAATAAATACACCAAGCATTCCCTAATCTCCGTTTAAACAGCGTAAGAAGGCAAATATTACGTAGGATGAGCCCCACACAAGCTCGCAATTGGGCTCACCTCAAGATAAACGTCATTAAATGACTCTCGATACCGCAAGCTTCGCGGGATCCTCCAGATGTACCAGCCGTAACGAGCACACTCTCGTCGTCGATTAAAACCGCATTCTAGCGCGCTCTATAGAAAATCGTCGTACCCGCGATTTTCGACCCAAAGGCGAACATCGTTAAAGCAACATTTCGCCGTTAACGCGGCGACGATCACCTTGTAAACCACGAACGTCTATAGACAGAAGGCAATCCAATCGCGAAGACGCCTCCTCGACAGGACAATCAGGCCCTCGAGCATCGTCCTGGAACGTTCCTCGGCCAAGTCAATCAAATCGACGCTAAAGCCAACGTTTAGCGTTGCATAACGTTTCACAACGTTCGCGCAAAATGGCTGTTTCGTTAGAGAGATGAAAGTGGTGAAAATAAAAATTCGATACATTAGCGTAGAAGAGTTACAAATTGGAAAAATGACAAGTGAAGATCACGACAAAAATATTTGGAGAATTTTTATGAAAGATTGATATTTCGAGTAAATAATGTACGCTACACATCGTAGACGTAGTATATTTCCAAAATATCGCCAAAGTCAAAATTCCGAAATTTTCATCAATCCCGATTACGATTTCTTGATCATTCGATTGAAATTTCACATCACACTTTGTCAATTTTCAATCAATCGACTCTGCAAATACGTTCGAAAATACGGA